CTACGAAAATAATACAACGAAACATGGATCTAAAAATAATCACGGGTACATTACATTGAATTCTTGAACGAATTAACCACTGGATCCGACAAAAAAAAACACAAACGTATGAAAACTCGTTCAACCAAGGGGAGAATATCGCACACAAAGGTTTTATTACATTAATATAAACATATATAATACATATATTAATATAACACAGATATAAAATTCGTAAGAGTTCACTCTATTTCTAGTGCTTGAACGTAGTCGATAAAATATATCGATGAACGAATGAAAGAAATTTTTGACATTTGATTTTGCACCGACAATCAAACCCAGAACCTCCGAATGAGAAAGAAAAGGCGTATGGTAAATAAGCTGAATAAGAAATAAAGGGAGAACGAAGGTGAGGTAAGCTTCCGATATTTAAATTTTAATTAAAATAAAAAAGCAGGTCATTGTTATGGACTTTTTATCCAATTATAGTTATGATAAACGTCATTTTTTTGTTAAGTTTAAATTATTTAAATAGATTTACTGACTTTTATTATGTATCATCTTTCTTAAAATGTGTTTCTTAAAATTTCTTCTTAAACTTAAACGTCTTTCGTTAATTCTTCGACGTGATTAACGTCGTCGTTTTCAAATTTATGGAAATGAATATCTTCGTACGACGGAAGTTGCAGCAATGTTTCTATTACTTTCGGCAGAAGAAAGTCTGGGGTGAATTCTTTTTTAGTCTTTTATTTTGAACACCCTTCCTAAGTTCGAGTACGCAGTGCTGACAATAGATGTGGTATCACTTGAGGGAAGTAGCAGTTTGCGGGAGGTTTTGTTTGAGGATTGGTGTCAGTTTCCCCCCCAACAAAAAAAGGGAGGAGAGCAGACGTGCAAGTTTCACATTTTAATGATTTTAAAAGCTTGTCAACTACAAAACCAGCAATATATTTAACCACTTTTTGTCCATAAGGCGAAAGAGTAGTTACATAAGGAAGTTCATCATAATCAGGGGTTAAATGCTAAGTTTGGTTACTTCTCGCCGTTGTCATATTTATTCTCTCGACAGGTGATTTAGATGGGCAGTTGTAAAAGTAAAAAAAAAATATTGTAGTGGATTCCAACGGTACGCAGTTTCCTGAATCCACATCAAGTTCTGCGTGAACTAGCCTTCTCTTGTATATTGATTCAAATATCTTGACGGTTGGGTTATCATTGCATCTTCCTTGACTACGTACATTACCAAAAAATATCTCAATATGATCTTGAGACATTTTATGAAAAGGCAACATGTGATTGTTATTTTTTATTAGGTTATCGAAAAGTCCCTTAGCACTTTCAGCACACATGCAGCGATGCGTTTTATAATACAGGTTGCGCCAGAGAAACTTAATTATTAGAAAGGTCAATAAAAACAAAATTACTTCAGTTATTGTTTTAATTCTTTTTTTATTTAAGAATACAATATCCAAACTTTTTTTTCATACAGTGTTAAAAATGACATCGGTTAAATGGTGACCCCCCATTGTGCATACACTGATTAAGTCAATTTCTGAAGTTTGTCTCCACTCTTCGCAGCATATCAATCGGTATGTTGGCAATGGCGTCACGAATATTGTTCTTGAGGTGAGCTATGGTCCGTGGCCGATCGACATAAACCAGGGATTTCAAATTATCCCATAAATAAAAATCACATGGAGCCAAATCTGAAGAGCATGCCGGCCATGGGAGATCGCCTCTGAGAGAGATGAGGCGGTCGGGGAAATGTTGTCGCAACAAATCCATTGGGGCTCGTGCTGTGTGTGCTGTGGCTCCATCTTGCTGAAACCACACGTCCCTAACGTTTATTTTTTCGAGGCTTGGAAGTAAAAATTCCTAGATCATGTTCCTGTAACGAGCTGCATTTACGTTAACTGCGCGATCGTTTTCTTCAAAAAAACTAAGGACCAATTATTCCCATTACCGATATCGCACACCAGACAGTAACTCGTTCACAATGAAGTGGCTTCTGGTGAAGTTCACACGGATTTCCACCACTCCCATAACACATTTGTTGACGCAGCCGGAAATGTGAGTGAGCCTCGTCACTGACAAAAACGACCGCGTCTTGTGGCAGATTGTCAAGCAGCACTTCACATGCATTTTGACGGGCAACAAAATCGCGTTTAGTTAATTTTTGCACAACAGCCAATTTATAGGGATGAAATTGAAGGTCTTCATGGAGAATTCGTCGAACAGTGGTGTCAGAAATTCCCAGAGCAGCTGCATGTTTGCGAGCCGAACGCCGGGAAGAACGCAGAATTGACTGCTTCACTCTTTCGATATTTTCCGGAGTTCTGGTGGTCCGTTGATGTCAATTCCTGAGTTTGGCGACACTTCCACGCTCCTGAAATGAGTGAACCCACGGCAGAATCGAATTACGGCCAGGAACTAGTCCGTGAGGAGGAATTTCAAAAGAAGTGCGGAAGGCACGTTTCGTAGCAACAAGTGAGCGACCGTTAGAAAAGAAGCTCTCGACGGCGAACCCCCGCTGCTCTCTAGATCAGAGCATGATGGCAACTGACTAGAGGAGGAAACACACTTGGGGACTTCCCACTCCAGATGCACCACCTCTCTTCCCTCTACCCTCTCAAATTACCGCTCGGGAGTTTTTTGAAATACGTAAGTTTCTCAGGCGCATCCTGTACATAGAAATATCGACTATATTTAACATAGTTGGATAAAACAAAACTTTATTTTACATTTGATTAAATTTTGTGATAAATAACAATAAATGTAATAAAATAATATATCTACAAGTGAAAAGAAATAGTGCTGCTTCCGCCGCTATAGTTTTTACACCATTTAACTGAACATTTAGTCATTTTTGGGAGATGTTTTGATGACAAGTAAGTGCTTGAGACTGACGCGAAAACAAACGACCAAGGCTAGAATTTCCTGGTTACCGATAAGATCGGTATAGGTACGTCCGCTTACGTGTCGGGTCCAGTGGTTAATTCGTTCAAGATTGAATTGTTTAACACTATACTATAAAATTCAAAGTGACGCATGAACGCTATATAGTCTTAAAGGTAAAATTACATGGTTCATGTTCTTAAGAATATATTTAAGTAATTACTTATCTCTAATTTTTTACATTAACTTTAATTAGTGACACTCATTGATTACAAAGGTTTAGGTCTATGAATATGTAATACATAGTTTAATTTGTAAATATACTATTCAAGAATGCCAAACATTATATAGTTTTATTTTATTTTAACACCAGTATTTTAATAATGCACTGATGCTCATAGGGTGGGTGGCTGGACGAGCTGCAGTTTGAGCTAGCTGTGTCCCTCGTCCTTGCTCGATACTCGAAATAACTTGTTCGATCACTTTACTCTTTATTCTTTACTTTCTTTCCGGCTTTCCAGCAAAAAATGTAAAACATGTTAAACTTATCACACTTATCACAATTATCGTAACAACACTGTAGAATTCTAGTTTCCTTTGTAATTCAGCTTGCGCTTGGTTATACCGGCTCCGTTCTGAGCTATTATTATTTCCGCGTTCTTGGACTGTTGCTTGCCCATGTTATTAAAAATAGTCATAAAAAATTTTGAAAACGTTATTTTTAACATAAAAGATCTATCAATCGGTTAGAATTGTAAATATAATAATTGCTAATTATTCTATTTTCTAAGTAAACTTTTACTTAAATATGCAGAGTTACATAAAATTAAATTTGCTTAACCATAGAAAGATAATCGTATAGCAACTCATATATCTCATACTATAATAAACATATACTACAACTATATAATCATACCTCTGTCAGACGTACTTTAATAATATAATTAAGATTTTTTAGTAAGCCTACGGAAGTATTATCATGCCTTATAGGTTGAAATAATTGTTTCTATTCTATTTAAGGCAATAAAACGATAAAATAGCAATAATAAAGTTTAATTGACAAATTACAAACAAAAATGGTAAACTTCTTTACAAATTAACAAAAACTTAACTTGTCTTCTGTAGGAACATTTAAAATCAGTTTCAGTCACTTGTACTTAAATTAATGTACTTACAACTAATACCTACTACAATAATCAGTCTTTTACTTTCGGCTATTAAATGCACTTATAGCACACAACTCTGTTGTGTTCTCCACACAAGGGTTTTTTGCACTTCATGCATGATAATTTTGACATCCTACGGGGTTTAGATGGGGACAGTATACGAACAATATCTCTTTTTTTTACAGGCGGCCCTTCTTGCTGAACCTGGCCACTGTTTGCATTGTTGTTTTGTTTGCAATGATTAGGCAACAATTCCTCTATATTTTGCCGCACAGTTTTTTTGGTCGTGCTTTAGTTTACGGTCGCACGCGGAGGTGGGTGGTGGGGGGTAGTGGTGACCCAACCCTAAAAGGGGGGGATGCGGAAACGTAAAGTTTCTGTAATATATTAAAAAATCTATCCTAACTTATAAAATATTGATATTGATTAATTTAATATGGTATTTATTTAAATCAAGTGGGGAGGAGGCTCTAATCTTCTCTCTACCCCGTCTGACGCTTTACATTCGACCTTCTTACTTACAGGGGTTCGATTCTGGGGGTGATCTACGTTCAACGGTTGGCAAGTTTTGTTCTGGCCTGAACTCATATATATATATATTATATAGAGAGCTATGTAGGCACAAATAAAACAAAAGAGTAAAAATAAATTCTATATTTAAATTTATAAACAAAGTTTTTGGCCTCTATAAGTGATAAAAATAAATCTTTTTTATTTCTTTGTATTCTTCGTCTCCACATATATTCTACAATACTATCGGAAAAATCTTTAGGGTTATTTATGTTATGTTTATAATACTTTTTAACGACACGCCACTGTACCTTAATCCTTTGTGTATGAGTTCCATCTAGAGCATCAAAAGGATTGTCTGGGTCCGAGTGATTCACCTTTTTATGGATGTATCCATAAGAACCCAGACAATCATATGCACGCCAGCAGTCCGTATGTATAATTGACCCCTCAATCACATGCTTCTGGATCAGGGGCGCCAACACTTCTCCGCACATTCTCCGGGCAAACTTCTAGCCGCAGGTCTTCACTCCCATCTTCAATAAGTCCAACAAGGACCCAATGGCCTTCAATGTGTCGTCCTAGAACAAATCACAAAAATATTATTTAAAAACAATTCAAATATAAATAGTATCCGTCTCCATGAACTCTGTTTCGCCTTAAACATTTTGTATATCAATATATATTGTTTACCTACCAAGCTAGGTCAATTGAGTCCTGCTATGTAGGGCCAGTATTTCTGGGTGGTTATAAAAAAATAACCACGAAGGCTAAGGCGGGAGCAAAGCTCCCGCCTTAACCTTCTAACCTAATCTGTCCGAGTCTGATTGCTCTGAATCGGGCTGTCAAACATGATATCAAAAAACTTAACCAACTTAAAAGACCATTACAAAATATAAATACCTTTGTTATATTTTCTCTTTCCAAATTTGCTTTCATCGATTTGGACCACCTTGCCAGGGCCACCAATTTTACCTATATTTTTTTGTACATTTATCTGGTATATAACTACTGTCTCACGACAATAGCTTTACCAGTCGGCTATTGTTGCCATTGAAAGGCAGTCTTCCGTATCTCTCTCCGGATCCACAAATATTACATTGTCATATGACCATCGGTGGGCAAAGGCGTACATTAAGAAGTAGACACGCAGCATCGATAACTTCACGTTTTCGAACCACGTGTCCTTAGCTCGAGAAACTTTCGAGCGTGCCCGACAGTTGCCTTTAGTGCATATAAATTGGCCAATATTCTTACAATTCCCATATGAAATTCGCATCGGGATGCGATGATGGCGGCACATTTTATTTTTAGGGATCAGGCCATGTTCTTCTGCGAACTCCACACATTGCTCCCGAGTTTGTAGCTTTTTGAAAAGCATGGTCCAATTCGGCATTTTTATTAATTCTTCCGCGTGCAACCTCTTATGCTCGTATACTCCGTCGGTATAAACAGCCTCAGTCTCGGTTGATGATGAAGCGCGCGCGTCACAAACGGCACTAGTTGACGGCTGAGGGTTGTTGTCTGCCATCTCAAATAAAAAAAAGGTCCGTATATGAAAGCAAGGGTCGTCGTTCTTGAAAGGTTCGTAGTCCAAATACAATGCCAGGTAAAATCGTCAAAACAGGTACAAGTCACAACAGGTACAAGTCACAACAGGTACAAGTCACAACAGGTACAAGTCACAACAGGTACAAGTCACAACAGGTACAAGTCACAACAGGTACAAGTCACAACAGGTACAAGTCACAACAGGTTCAAGTCACAAGGTACAATGCGAGGGTCAGGTTGGGAGCAAATAACGAAACAAATCACACGCACAAAAAACAACGACGCCAAGAGCACGAAGGCAATGGAATGAACAATTCTAACATATAACATTGACAGCCAGTGTTTCCTTTTTTTTAAAGCAAAGATTTACCATATACAGCCAAAAAAATTTTTAGGTCTGAAATAATACGCGGTAAAAGGAGATGCAACCATTATGTTGTCTCTTTCTAATTCTTTAGAATGTCATTATATAAATGTCAAAGGCCGAAAGCCAAAACAATACTGTTCTATACGATTCCTAGTAGTTAACCTATAAAACTTAAAAAATTAATTTCTCGAAAACTATAAGTTTCCGCAGAAAATCCTTCTAGCATTTACTTCAATGACCTGTTACCTACCTATTAAAATTAAAATTATCACGAAAATCGTGCGACCGTAAACTAAAGCACAGCCGTTCTTAAGGCTTTTCGTTCTTTGATAGAATATTAGAACAATAAATCACATAGGCATTTACAAAGGCTATGTTGAAAATGCTATTAAGTACAGCCATTGGCCATCTGTTCGTTTTACTGGAGCATGACATTGACGAACACATTTGGTCAAATGTGTCGTCACCTCCTTTTGTATGGATATAAAACATTATCATTTCTAATTTTCCTGTAGTTTGATTGATTGTACCTTCTTTATCACATGATGATAAGAGGTAAACCATTTTTGATGGCTTTGGTTTGTATGACACAAGAGTCAAAGGACCGTCGTAACAATACATGGAGGTGCCAACCGCTCGAGATCGAGTGTTTTTCATTTGATCTGGGATCTCTCTTTTATTCGAACGTATAGTGCCAACCATTGGGAGTTTATGTGGTTCCCGTAGCAAGGACTTTGCTAATGGCACAGAGGTAAACCAGTTGTCGCAGGTGATGTTGCGATTGGTACCATGAACAGATTTTGACAGTTCTTTTACATAAAATTCACCTCGAGGAACGCCGTTGGTGTTGGTTGCCTTGCCGATTTAAGGCATGCAATTTTTCATGTATTTCTTCCCACTGTCGCACATCATGGGTATTTTTATTCCATACTTATTGGGTTTATTTGGAATATACATTCTAAATGGACATCTACCTCGAAATCCCAGTAGCTGCTCGTCAATGGTAAGGTATGGTCCAGGTGTGTAATTAATTATACATTGATGTATGAACAAATCCCATACTTTTTGACAGGTATAAATGGGTCTACAGTTTTGAGCGCTGGGCGTAACGATTTGTCATCCATTATTCAGAAAGTCGAATCGGTCTCGACTTTTAGGAGCTGACTCCATAGGGTATTCCTATTGGTGACCATAATGAAAGATGAAATAACTTTTGTTAATATTTATTATAAAAGAACGTGCAATACAGTTGGCGGGCAACTAGTGACTGCCTGAAAAATGTTATCCACAAAGTATATAGATACAACCTCACAAGGTATACATGCGTGTGTGTGCGCTGCACACCCACAATACTTCCCCCTTTATAAAAAATTAATAATAAAAAAACTTAAAACTATATAATGAATACAAACAAAAACTTAAAACTAACAATAAAATCTTGCTAATGAGCTGGGGCGCAGGGCTGCACGGAGACCCCCGCAAAAGGGGCGGCTGCCGCGGCGGGCGCATGCGCGTGCTGCAGACTGGTGTTACAAGCACCTATCATCTGACCCATATTCTGGCCCGATATCGGAACGCCTGCCATTAACACTTGACAGCGAAGCCAGATTTTGAACTTCTTATTAAACTTTACCTAAACAGTGTACAAGATTATCGCCCCCATAAAACTGGCTATCACATAAAACCATATTTGAAAATTATCCATTTTATTCTCTACAGTATTCTGAGCTTGAGAAACAATAACTGGTTTTTCTTGAAAATTACTCATGGTAAAAATCGTAAAACTTATCGCACTAATGCTTTTGCAAAGGAAGTATTTAGAATGAAATGAAATACATTATAACTAAACTAACTACCTAGACCTAAATGAAACTGCAGTATACGCAAAATACTAAACACAATACCTCTACAATTACATTCAACTTAAATAATGTAACTTGAATATCCCGAATGAAAATATTCTGCACCTAACAATGCAAATATTATTTACATTGTTAGGTTATATTATATTAGTGATAGGGGTCCCTATTGCTGACCATAATGAAAGATGAAATAACTTTTGTTAATATTTATTATAGAAGAACGTGCAACACAGTTGGCGGGCAACTAGTGACTGCCTGAAAAATCTTATCCACAAAGTATATAGGTACAACCTCACAAGGTATACAGACTCATAACTGATACGTAGCGCGTTCCTCTATCTTTGGCTTCTTTATTTCGGCATTTTAGGGAAATTTCTTCGTTCGTCCATTCGTCACTATTTCACTTAGTATATCACCAGTTACGAACAGATTAAAACATAACAAGGGGTCGTAAACGTTTTTACACATACGCGTTGGTCCTCTAGCTGATCGAACAATATTTATTGCTGGGGTTCTACCGTGACTTATTTTTACCTCTGAGTGTGCGCGAGAAGTAATAATTATGCGTCTAGAAGTAATAAATATATCAGAAGGCGCAGCTTGGTCGGCTGTAGATTCTGAATGGTTTTCAGCAGAGACTTCGGGTATATCTACAGCTTCATCGATGAATTCGTATTCAGTTTCAGTGTCACTCTACACATCGTCTTCTAAGAGATTATCTTCGCATTCGCTTCAAATTCTGATGACGATTCCTTTTCATTTTGATATAAAAAGTTCTCAATTTGAGAACTATCCAACACCCTTCGGTTTGCCATTAAAACATAATAGTAGTAAAATAATAATAAATAAGTGTAAATAACAATAAACAATCAGTTCAAATGATTGCAAAAGTTGCATTAAAGATAATCATACGTCTCGCGGACGCACGACATAAGTACCTACATCTTTTATTTGAACGTACTGACCGTGGCGCCACTGCTGCTTAGCGCGAGCTTCCGCCCGCCGACGATTAATAATAAAAAATACTACAACGAAATTTAATTTCGCGATACGTCTCGCGGACGTAGATTATCTTACTCGGCCACTCCGTGTGGTATAAGATATAAACTTATTATCTACTTTACTTTTTGTGTTCGCGTTCTAACATTCATTATTATTTGTGCTTAACACGTTGAACGCCATGGGGGTCACCGGTGACCTCATCTGGTTTACTTTATTGCGCCATGGGGGTCACCGGTGACCTCAAGCGAGAGGCATATTCGAAATGTATTTTTGGGCCGCCGGTCACGCGTGTCGTACATTTCGTGTATGCGAGTGACCGCTTTGGCGCTATAGAGTAATCCTTTTCAAGGGGACGTGGCTACTTAGAAAATTTTAGGAAATATGTACAATATCCTTAAGATTTTTGTAGATAAAATAAAAAAAGCGACTAATTTCATGATACATGACTTTTAATCACATTAAATCTTAAAGCTATCACAATGCACATTATTAAAAATATAAAACAAACAATATAAACTTCAAATTAAAAAAAAATGTCTTCTTACACAGGAAAAAATCCAGGAAATGCTACAAAAATTACCATTGAAATAAAAATGCAATCAGAAAAAATTAAATCAATAATTGACTAGAAAGAACTAAACATAACGATGGATCTTATTAAAACAGGATAAACAGATATGTGGGTTTCCATCACATTGAGCGCAAAAAGTATTAACCTTTTTTAGCTTTATTTTTCGCCAATTTTCGTCCAAACTGCTTTACCATATCTTTGTAACAGTGTACACAAAATCGTCTAGTATTTCTCACTGTCCCAGTTTTTGTTAGCAACTCGTGCTTCAAACGTTTGGGTCTTGATACCGTTACTCCTGACTCAGTATGCTGAGAATCTGACGAGCTTGTTAGATAGTCTACTAGAGATTTCCGAAACTCTACGATTGACATTTTTGTGTTCCTAGTTTCGGTAAACATAATCCATGCATTTACTACGGCAGTATTCAACAAAATCTCAATACCAAGTTTCCGGTACCACTTAATAGTTTTACGTAAGGGAGAAGAATACGACGACATTTGGTCGCTCATATCGACAGATCCTTTTGACTTATTATAATCTAAAATCACTTTCGGCTTAGTAATCTGTTTGCCCTTTTTTGGCGATTGTTGACATTTTATCAGAATGTTTAGTAGAAAGCATCATCACGTCCCGCTTATCTTTCCATTTTAAAATTGTTATACCATCCTCATTTTCCATGGCCATGAACTCTCCCTTTTGAAGTTTGGCTTCTACTACATCCTTAGGTAAACCTCTTCGGTTTTTCCTAATAGTCCCAATCAAGTGCGTTTGATGTTCCAGTAAATTGTAAGCCAACTCTAAGCTGGTGTACCAATTATCAGTTGCCAAAGTGTGGCCTTTGTTTAATATTTGGCTACAAAGAGACATTACCACTGATGTAGGCGTAGTATTTACGGTATCGATATTTTTACCTCCATACAACGAAAATTTGCAGGTGTACCCGGGAATAGTACATAGTTTGAATAGCTTTAAACCATATTTATGGCGTTTACTTTTATTGTATTGTCTAAATACAATCCGCCCTCTGAATGGAACCTGACTTTCGTAGACACAGATGTCTTCTTTCGGTGAATAATACTTTTGAAACGTATTATTGACCATATCTATAATCGGTCTTATCTTAGAGATTCGATCAGATTTATTTGCGGTTTCATTATCACTAAAATGTAGGTACTGTAGGATTATTTCGAATCTATTGCGGCTCATGACGGTACGTGGAAATGTCTGTCCTAAGATTTTATCTTTGCTCCAGTAATAGCTTAACTTTGGGAGTCTCACAAGACCCATGTATAGGATAAGTCCAAAGAAACGTTTAATTTCATGTCTGTCTGTTGGCTTCCAAGCATGAGATCTTGATGAAGGTTTTACATTTCTCGATTCGCAGGATTGTAAGGCGAATAAGTTGGTCTGCTCTACAATCATATCGAAAATTTCATCAGACACTAAAAGACTATAAAAAGCTCCCGGGTCTGCTTCTTTTAATATAGTAGAAAATTCTTTGTTTATACCTGAAGTTTCGGTAAATGGTATAATAGATGGTTGTTGACGCCTAGGGCGTGACCATTTCTTTGACACACGATCTGAGGCGGTAATATTGGCTGTCACATAATTTCGAACGGAATGAGACTCACTCTCACTGTCGCTTTGGATGATTAAACGTCTTCGTTTTTTCGGAATATGCAACTGTTCTTCGTTTGAATCCGACAACTCTAGATCTGATTGATTATCTTGTTCATTCTGCTGTATAATGCTAGTCTCGAGTAATGTTAATGGCCGCAAATCTTCCTGTGTAAAATCAAAATCTTCCATGTCCACCTGTATTTCTTCAAAATTTTTACTGCTAAATATTTCCGTTTTTAATTATTTATTGCAATGTTCATAATATTCAAGTTCACTGCACACAATATCACACTAATTAAGTACTTGACGCAAAGTATTACAGCAACATAGAACACTCACGTTTTCTCTTCACGGGCGCTAGCGCAGTACTGAGCGGGTGGGTGGCCGACGCGGTGACCGGCGTGGCGCCTTCGTAACGGAAACTATTTTTATTACTTTATAGCGCCATGGGGGGCACCGGTGACCTCAAGGGTTTTTTTTGTTATATTTACGGGACCCTATGGCAGATTCTTATGAAAAACAGTATACATACATATCTTGATTAAATACATAAATTACAAGTTTTTTTTTACAAAAAACTTTTTTCTATAATGGCGTTTAATGTATTAAATTATTAGTTTCTAACTCGACTATATAATATGCTGGTTTCAATCTTTCAATTGAAATATTGACCTGCCTATTAGGAAGTTGTACATTAAATACCTTGTTATTTCTACGTAGAACGCAGTAGGGGCCATCGTAAGTAGGTGTTAAAGGTTTTTTTACTCGCATCATTTCTTACGTAAACATGACTGTAATTATTCAAGTCCTTATAGATAAATAATTTCCGCGAATCGCTTGCACTTCGTGACTTCGGACAGAGATTACTTATAACTTCTCGCAATTTTTCAACATATGTGTAATCGGCCCCACTGTACTTTGGACTCGCCTCACGGTAAAAATCGCCTGATAAGCGTAATGATTGTAATTCGGCTGCACTAAAGCCTGTGTCACACCGGCTGGCGGCTCGTAATCCGAATAAAACTGTGGATAATTCGTCATACCATGATTCATTTTCTGATTACCTACTCGTTAAAGCGACTTTCAAACTACGGTGCCATCTCTCTATTATCTCATTACTCTGAGGATGGTAAGGTGTGATTCGAATCCTACGAACTCCTAGTAACTTTAATAGATTTGAAAAAAGAGTGCTTTCGAACTGCCTACCTTGATCGCTGGTTAATTTACTAAGGCACCCAAATCTACATACCCAGTTCTCATATATAACTTAGCTACGGTTTTAGTGTTGATATTTTCAACGGGTATTGCTTCCGGCCAGTGCGTGCAACGGTCTATGATCGTGACGCAATACTTATTATTATGGCGCGTTGTAGGCAACGGGCCTACAATATCCACGTGAATATGATCGTAATGTTCACTGGGTTCGAATGAACCTATTCCTGTAACAACATGACGTCTTACTTAACATTTTTGGCATCGTATGCATGTTTTTACCCATAATCCTATTTCTTTGTTCAATTTAGGCCAAAAGAACCTCATAGTAACCATTGATCGAGTCGTCCTAATACCTGGGTGGCTGATGTTATGTATAAATTCGAAAACAGCTTTCCTAAATGATGGTGGTACATAAGGTCTTATATTACCGCCCGCGACGTCACAGTATATATTTTTTCTAACGTTGGGAATAACAACTCGCTTTAACTGTACCTTGTTCGACGCGCCGGCACCCGGCATCCTGCAGTATTTGCGAATTTTGAACTTCGGCTTCATGCGCTGTCGCTAATTCCTCGTAATCTGTGACCATTGGACAAACGATAGTTTCAATGCGCGATATCGCATATTATTGTCACCATTGACATGTTGTATACTGTTGGTATACTCACTAATATACAACAACTGTCTAATTCGTCGAGGAGTCTCTTTACTAGAATTTACCGTATGTCAGAGGCTAATGGTGCGTGTACACGGTCGGTATATTTTTGAAATGCATGATGAGCATGTACACAACCAACAGTTCTCTGTCATACGTACTGTATTTTTGTTGAGCATCTGATAGTTTTTTAGAGAAATACCCGAGCGGCTGCCAAATACCGTTGACCTTCTGCTGCAGTACTGCGCCTACACAGGTGTTCGAGGCATCGGTCATTAATGAAAATTGCGCGTCCCGCATTGTAATAATGTTATGGCATTTTGCAGGTTTAACTTACATTTTTCGAATGCGTGGTTGGCTTCACTATCTCAGTCAATTTTCGTCTTGTCCTTCTTTTTTGAGTTATGTAAAAATTTGTTTAAACTCATATGACATTCAGCTGCTTTGGACAAATGTGACCTGTAGAAATTTACCACACCTAAAAGAAACGTCGTAGCTCGTCGACTGTTGAGGCTTTGAATAGTCCAGAACAGCCTCGGGCAAAGGGCTTATTCCTGACTGAGTAACCTTAAATCCTAAAAAATTGACTTTGCTCACTCCAAACAAACTCTTTGGTTAGTTTTATGGTCAACCCGATACTGTGGAATCGCTCGAATACTTTTCGTACATGTTCTCGTTGGATGACTTCATTTCGCGATGCAATGACGACGTCATCGTTTTTTGTCTTCACGCTTCGTCCGAGTCAACAGTGTTTTTAACGTCTCCGTTTAAATCTTCTTGAAACCGTAGTAAATGTTTATTTTTAATAATAAAATTTACATCAGTTTAAAGCTAACTTTCTGAGCTCTCCGTTAGTGATGATTTAAATCTAAATTAAGTGAGTGATTGAATCGAATGTCAAATGAATTATATTTTATGCAATAATTATGTCAAATGAATTATAATATGCCTACTGATGCGTCACTTAAATATTCATCGATTGAGTAGCGTAATCATTAAATATTTCAGGATTAGTTTTTACAAATGTCACAACTTCATAAATATACATAGCGGGAAATGTCAATAACTTAAATTTTTTAATTTGTGGTTTACAGCTTTCTGTACTCGATATACTTTCAATAGCACGCACACTTTTTTTTTCCTTTAAATATATCTTCGCGCCTTGTAGCATTTAGCCCCAAAAAACTATACCGTAGCGCACAGTAGAAGATACGAAGCCGTGATATACCGTCCGTAAAGCATCTTCATTAACTACTTTGGATAATACATGTAAAGCGTATGAAAATTGGTTTAACTTTTTGCAAATAAATTCTGTGGGAGTCTCCCACTTTAAGTTGTTGTCAATGTAAAGACCTAAGAATTTTGCTACTTTGGTTTCACTAATGTTTAATAAATCAAAAGGCCAATCTCGTTGATAAAAATTCATTATTTGAGTCTTTTTTTAAATTTATTATTAAATTATTAGACTTAAGCCAGCTAATTATACTCTTCAGGCTGTTATTAATTTCATTTTCATAATTATTTATGTCTACTCTCGTAAATATTTTACCAATGGTAAATTAGTAAAATATTATCAAAATACAACATATATGGTCCTAACTCTTGTATCCCAAGTCAGATTGCATCTTGAGACTGGGACCGAACGCATTCTGATAAGGCTCACAATTAACTGAGTACCCATGGCGAGTAGCGGCTGACCAAAGCTTGTAACCAAACCTAATGGGTTTTCCGTGTATGTGTTGCTTGGTACCGTGCCTTCTAAAATATGGTACTATAGTTTCTTCAATCGAAATATGAGAGGAGCCAACTCTCCTTAAGTTTGTCGTGAAATTTTTATTCAGTTTTGTGAAATGTTTTCGAACTTAGCAAATTTGTCATTTTGTGGCAGGGATGGGATGTACTGTCTATTGATACATTGCAGATTTTTTTAAACCTATTACGTCCAATGCTAGATGCTACTAAGTCACTGTGTGTGTCACTTTTTACTTCCCAAAACATCCTCATATATTTTGCGTCAAATACTCTGTTAGTAACAATATTGAAATATATACTCTAAGTCTCTAACTTTTTCCGCAGTTACCTTTAGAGTATGTAAGGCATAGAGATTGGACATCTCAACTATATAGCTAATCAGTTCGTCACTATAAAGCAAATCAATACATTGGACGGTATTCATCTCCTCTTTTGAGTGAACAAAAACTTCTTCATGGCGGTCTCCTTTACCACAAGTCCTAAAAGAAGTAGTGGTTACATCATAGTAGTACCATTTTTTACCGTATTTTATTTTTTCTTCGGTTTCTTTCGGGCAGGCATGGATTCTTTTTCTTCCTCGTCCAAATTTTCTCCAGATACGGAATTGCGATTCTGTGACTCAACTTGAGATCGAAGCATGCGATTAGAAAGATGATGGATATTAGCTTCGTTTTCATCACCACTGTCTTCATCAGTTATCTCGCCGTCGTTAGGAGGAAATAAAATTATATCACCTGAATCTTTTTCGGCCTGCAACGCCTTGACAATCTCATCTAACGTCAACCATTAATATAAAAACAAACAATTTGTGCGAAAAACAGCGATAAGACCAACAGTAAACAAAGTTTTGTAAAAACAGTAGAAATACATAATATAATGTCCAGTGTAGGTGACACCGCAGAATTTGGGTGTTATAACAATACAACTTTTAGTTTTTATTATCAATAAATACATGTATATTATAGCTTAATATTTATTTTTAACATTTGATAAGAAAAAATATAATACTTACTATATAAGGTTTGGGCATTTTATTTTCACTTTTTCTCGCAATAGATCACAAAAACGCAAATTGATGCAATTGCGCGCAAAATAACTTTGTGACATTGACAGTAGACGCATGGTGTGTATTTCCTGATATATCTAAAAATCGTCAAGTAGTGCTCTTTGACATTACTACTATAATGGTAGAATTGAGAAATAATATTTCCATGTGGTATTAAATAATGATCAAACTTCTATCACCTAAAGGTGACACTGGGAATTGACGAGTTAATAGAATCGTTGGTTGTGCGGCCTGTCGTATAAACTTATTCTTTTAAGAGTAATTCTTAAAAAAAAAAGACTCGTTACTCAAATACTCACCTATATAAGGTTGCTTAGGTCTGGCTTCCTTGGAGAGTACTACATACTGAGAGGGCAGGAAGATCTCCTTATTTTTTGGGTTTCTGCTCGATGGAGTTGTGAACTGCATCACAATCTATCTACGTATGGCTTTATCGTTATGGCCTTTTTATTTATTTATTTATTTTATTCTTTATTGCACCAAAGATTTTGTACAAAAGGCGAGCTTAATGCTATATGGCATTCTCTACCAGCTAACCTTGGGTAGAACAGAGAGTGAGTTATGGGCAGTAAAGATGTCATGATCTCATTCAATTCAAAATGTACATGCTACACATACATATAATATATATATACACATATATATTATATACACTTACACACACATACATATGTATATACATATATATATATATATATATATACACATATACATATATAAATATATATCTTCATAAATATATATACAAATAACTATAAACATATAAAGTAAGTGGACTCAAATTTGTTGGTTACGGATATATTCGTATAGTTTTCTTTTAAACACGTTTTTAGCAGGTATTATGCGCAGGTCAACAGGCAATTTGTTCCAGAAAGAGATGGAAGTTAATGTGAAAGAATTTGACATAAACCCAGAATGGTGGAGAGGAGTAGACAGTAATAAATTATGTGAAGACCGGAGATGGAGAGAATGAGTGTCACTACGGAATTGGAATCTTTCTTTTAGGTAAAGGGGTGAGGAAGAATCATTAAGAACTGAAAACAGAGAGGACAGCATTCGAAAATCTCTGCGCTGGCGTATAGTCTACCACTTTAATTGGGAGCGAAATTCTGATACGTGATCGTATTTGCGCAGACCAAAGATGAATCGTATGCAGTTGTTAAGTAACCTGTCCAACCTGCTTAGCAGCTCCTGAGAGATATTAGAAAGACAAACATCGGCATAGTCAAATAATGGAAGAATTAGAGATTGGATGAGTAGAAGCTTAGTTGAAGGAGGCAGAAAGAACTTAAGACGATAGATGGAACGAAGTATGCCTGTGACTTTACGACAAATCTCTGTCATGATCAAACAAAAATCTCTTTTTCAAGAGATTTTTGTTTGATCATGACATTTTTATATGGTTAATTGCAAAAGTGCATTAGCAAGAATACATTTCTAATCTGTGCCGTACAGCCATCAGAAAAACGATGATAGGGACTCATTTTTTGCTCTTAAGTGTTTCTCAGTATGTATATGATACATGAAATAAATACAAAAACAGTTGTAAGCTCAGCGCTAGTTTCCTCGAATCAGTAGCAGTAGACATCTTCGGTTGTTAGATTATTCATCATGAAATTGTGTGCGCAGAGGTGTAATAAAGAACACTGTAACTAAGGACACAACTTGTCAACATGTGGGTCATGCGTAAAAATATGTACATCACCGAATTGTTGAGATATTTCTTTATCTCGTAACTTTTCATTTCTGATTATGTCTTTTGAAAGTTATATTTATCGTTAGTTATGTTGTTCAATTTATATAAACAACAAGTTTTCCACTGATCCTTTTATTTGTTTTAAACAGGCCTAGCGTTAGCTCATCAAACACTATGGTATATAATCTGTATAGCACAGTTTTGTCTTCAATGATCTGTTGCTGTCGTAATGACTGTAAGTGAGTGTAGAAAACCGGAAACCCCTTTTAGTGGAAACGAGGCTATCCATCTTAGTTCTCTGGGGTGACAACGTATCTATATTTTGATTCTTTATTAATGATAGATGTAGATATATGGGCCGCAGGATCGATTTTGTCTTCAATGATCTGTTGCTGTCGTAATGACTGAGTGAGTGTAGAAAACCGGAAACCCCTTTTAGTGGAAACGAGGCTATCCATCTTAGTTCTCTGGGGTGACAACGTATCTATATTTTGATTCTTTATTGATGATAGATGTAGATATATGGGCCGCAGGATCGATTTTGTCTTCAATGATCTGTTGATGTCGTAATGACTGTAAGTGAGTGTAGAAAACCGGAAACCCCTTTTAGTGGAAACGAGGCTATCCATCTTAGTTCTCTGGGGTGACAACGTATCTATATTTTGATTCTTTATTGATGATAGATGTAGATATATGGGCCGCAGGATCGATTTTCCATCAGATGGACTGTCTGCTCTTTCGTCACCTTTATTCTATAAAAAATGATTGTTTTGAGATACCTGTTCTACAATAATACAATAGCATTTTAGGCAACCAAGTTAAAACAGTTTGAGAAATGTCGTGTTACCTTTCTCGATAATGTTCATTGATGTCTTTAGTGAACGTTTTTGCTGTCCCACGCCCCGAAAATGCCACCAACCATCTTAAAAAAATACTCCTTTAACCCTAAAGTCTTTAAAAATGTCAACATACACACTTGAATTTGTCCAATAGATGTATTCAGAAATTATTGTTTGCTATCACACCTAGATTTTATCGTATTTTTAAAATGCTTGTGCAAAAACCCTGTCATTGGCAATAAACTTTTCTAATGATTTAGTAAGAATATACTTTTGTTGCCTTTCATTGTACGATCACGATCTATTTTCTATATTATTCTATTAATCTTTCGTACAATTATTTCGCAAGTACAACAAATATTATTATATAAATCGTTGAATGGAAAACGTAAGCCTTTTCTAGTTTTCAAATTTAATAATTTATGAAAAAAAAAACTTTTTTCGGTATACAAAGGCTCGCTGCATTTTTGGCATTTTTTTGTGGCACAATGAGCAATGTATAACCCAGATAAGCCTGAAACAATTATTTTCTGAAAATTTTGATAAAATTAATATTATTTGGATTAATAGTCCTTACAAAATGCAAATGTCCGTAAAAAATGCTCAGAAAAATTGACTGTAAGGCTTTAAAGGAAACAGCCGCCCTATATGTAGTACAGTAGGAAAACAGGATGAAATAAAAGATCATATGACGAAATAACACGTAAACGTAAAGAAAACAAGAAATAGGTAAGTACTGTAATCTTGGGACTGTCTCGTATATAATTAAACTCACTGATGCAGTTTAATAACTCTCTCTTTATTAATTTGGAGGAGACTTATATACAGTAATTGTGACATAGGTACATAGGTAGGGGTTAGGGTTTTGTTACGTGGTTCCAGGTAGACACCTGAATGGTGTCCTCTTCTATAAATATAATATGATAATACTGAACTAAATAGATATTATTTCTACTCCTTATATAGAGTCCACGTTGAAAGAAAGAAAGAAAGAGATATTTATTTGGCCATTTCTTAACAAATTAGCAGTAAATACTCAAAACAAACATTATGCTTAGGTATTCTTTAAAGTAGACTTAATTATATACTTACAATTAAAAAATAAATCATTTTGATAAAGCGTATAGATAGATACGCTAAGATGTGTCATCTAAGCCCTGATTTTCAGTGGCTACCTTAAGTACATTACATTCATACACACACATATAATATATATACATATACATAGATATATACACATACATACATAAATATACATACGCATAACACACATACACACACGGGCACATATTTTCTATATATATACGGGCACATATAATTGACGTTGAGTAATGATATCATTTAATATTCCAGTTATATTGCTTTGTCATAGTACCTACACCGCAAAAAAGAAAAAGGAAAAGTTAAAAAAAATGTTTTTGTAGTAGGTAACTATAGATTAGGAACATCAGTTATGAATGACATGTTTCAAAACACTTGACATTCACTCCAACATCACATTTTATGTTGCGTGTCAAACATTTCTTATAACATTAACGGCAGAATAATTGGTTTGATTGAGGAATAACTTAGTGATTGATTTGGTCTTTTCAACCATCAGCATGTTCATGTTGGTTTACCTTTTATGTGCTCTTTACAGCCATGCCGCCCATAATAATTGATCATGGTCTTATCTACACTGTAATTCTTTTCGAGAGGATAAACGCCCAAAAACTTTTTTTAGAAGTGTTACGAGTAGGTGGACTTTTGTATATTTGTCTTGCAGATCCAGATTAGCATTGACATGAAGGTGATGAAAAATAGAGTTAAATCTATTCCTAGTCATAGCAGAGCTGACCAACTAATTCTTTCTATCAGGAGAGCTTTCCCAATATATTCCTATTCGCGGGAGCCATGAATAACCACTCACCATCAATATGCCAATGAATTCATATCCTAAGCGGTTATGTTTCCAAGTAAATTATTTTTGACGGCATTTGTTATTCTCTGACACCAACAAGGAAATAACGTTCCAGGTCTAGAAGGCATTTGCTCTGAACAATGTCCGTTAAAATTATTCATATCAATAACATTTCCCGCAGCAGATCCATTGGATTGAAAATGCCTGCTATCATGAATGCTACTTCTTTTGCTAACCAAATTAAAAGGATTTAAGTTTGGACCCAGCCCAATCATCGCTTTGATCAATTTGTCTCGAAATGTTACGTGTACGTAATTGTTTCTTTTTTTATATTTTTGGATAGAAAGAAAGCATTCCAAACAGCAATATCAAGAAGGTGAAACAGTACTTTTTTGTACCATCTAATGGTTTTTCGAGGGCGGAAAAAATAAGATACCATTTGAACCAAGCTATCTACACCGGACATGTATATCTTTTATATATTTCAACTTAAACCTGTTACAGTCTAGTCTTTCCAAATCTGTTTTTCACTTCTGTTATCGCAAGATGCTTATAAGTGGGTATCATTAGAAGTGGACGCTTATCTTTCCACTTTGATACGTAAACCTTACCTCGGTGTTCCTTGATGTATTCACCTTTTCTCAGTTTTTTATTCACGAGTCATTTAGGATTTCCTTTACGATTTATACGCAAAGTACCTGTGCAATAAGTTTTCAAATCCGACAGCATCTCTAATAACTTTATAGAAATATAAAAGTTGTCCATAAATAAATGGTATCCACAAAGTAATTATGGCAGCATTAATCCTAACACAAGTTTTCAGTCTTTGATTCATCCGTACTTTGAGACGTCTCCAACCAATTATTTCCAGAATACATCTTCACATTCAACACATATCCATCATGGGATGTCAGTTCGTTAAATTGAATACCAAAACGTGCTTTTTTTACTTTATGTATTGCCGAAAGTGTAA